CTAGGCTACATTGGCTTATATTTCTAGCAGTAATACGTTTCAGAAGTTAGCTTTTTTTAACATTAAGGGTTAAATTAAGGCTTAGAGGCTGTGGAGTTACATGGTTTAGTGCCTAACTTTATGCAGGACAGGGTCTTTATTAAACAAAGCCACTTAAAGCTTCCCCCCAAAAAATCTTGCAGAATCCCATCTGCCGAATCTGTCCAGGGTCCTATATTTCATGCTTGAAATACCCGTTTAGCATCTGCCCTAGGTATTGTCTGAACATGTTCTGTGCTGTGTGGATATGGTACGTTAAAGAGCAACATAAAGCAAGCTTTGATAAAGGTGTGAAAATGAAACCCCCTTCCCATTTTACATATGGGACGGTCTCTAGAGAAAGCGTTTCACGAGCTATGATGGGCCTAATTACAGAATTAAGATGAAAAAAAAAAAGAGGTTTAAAATTGGAAATGTATAAAATGAATTTTATGTTAAAAGACGAGTAAGTACACACTAATACATGTTCCTCATATGCACATGTGGTAAAAAATAATCACATATATCAAGAATTATAAACATTCCATTATTCAAGATAAGTTTAAGCACCCCAGCATGTTGCACCTACGATGCTTAGAAAGTGTGTTGTATGGTAAAGTATAAAACCAATTTCACTGGAGGGCTGAAAGCAGGGCCGGACTGGCCCACCCGGATAATGGGAAATTTCCTGGTGGGCCGTCGGCACCTGGGGCCAGGCAGGCAGCTGGCTTTTCTGGCGGCCGCAGGGGGAGCTGGCTGTTCTGTCTCTGTTCCCCCTCCCCAGCGCGCAGCTTAATGAGACCGGGGCCGGAATATGACGTCAAAAGAGCTCCCTCTGCGGCCGCCAGAAGAGCCAGCTCCCCCTGCGGCTGCCATCAGAGCTCCCCATGCGGCCGCCAGCACACAGGTAGCAATTATGTGCGTCAGTGTGAGTGTATGTGTGTGTCATTTGTGTGTGTGTCTGTCATGGTGTGTGTGTGTGTGTCTGTGTCATTGTGTGTCTGTCTGTGTCATGGTGTGTGCGTCTGTGTCATGGTATGCGTGTGTGTGTCTCTGTCTGTCATGGTGTGTGTGTGTCTGTCTGTGTCATGCAATGTGTGTCTGTGTCATTGTGTGTGTGTCTCTGTCATGGTGTGTGTGTCTGTGTCATGCAATGTGTGTCTGTCATGTAATGTGTGTGTGTCACGGTCTGTCTGTGTCATGGTGTGTGTGTCTGTATGTCATGGTGTGTGTATGTGTCTGTGGCGTGTAATGTGTGTGTGATTGTGTCACGGTGTGTGTGTGTCTTCACGGTCTCTCTGTGTCGTGGTGTGTGTGTCTGTCTGTGTCACGGTCTGTCTGTGTTATGGTGTGTGTGTGTCAAGGTGTGTGTGTGTGTGTCTTTTTTAAGGTGTGTGTCTGTCATGGTATGTGTCTGTCATGGTGTGTCTGTCTGTCATGGTGTGTGTATGTGTGTTTTTACTCAACTTTTTTTTTTCTCCCACGTTGTGCTGGTCTCCCCTCGACTGGCCCTGCCTCAAGCTTTATGATCTCAGCCAATCCGCACTGACACAGGAAGCACCTCTAGTGACCGTCTGAGTGTCTGTCACTAGGAAGCAATGTAAACACTGTCTTTTCTCTAAAAAGTCAGTGTTTACATTGAAAAGCCTGCAGGGACAGGCTATAGACACCAGAGTCACTACATTAATCTGTGTGTGTGTGTGCGTGCCTGCTAGTGAGTGGGCTTGCTTGTGTGTGTGTGTTTGTGTGTGTGCCTGCTACTGAGTGAGCTTGTGTTTTTATGTCAATGACCTTATGTATATCAGTGAGATTGTTTGTCTATGAGGCTGTGTATCAATCAGCTTGTGTCAGTGAGATTATCTGTGTCTGCATTGTATCAGGCCATCTTAAGTCAATTCAGATGAACAACATTCTGTATCAATATGTATGCCCTCTGGAGGCACTTGTCAGGTGACATACAGCATACATACACCAAAAGCATGGTTCAAGGGGAACACTATTTAGCACCTTCAGATGTTGTTGACTGCAGCTCGAATAACGCTGGCAAAGCATTAGGGGAGATGTAGTCCAAAACATCTGGAGTGCCAAGGGTTTCCTACCCCTTTATTACACTAAATAACTTATAATAGCGGTATGCTTGTATTATTAAACAATACATTTAAAAAATAGAGGGTCACCAAAGTCATTTTATTACAGCAAAATAGCAAGGTGAGTCATTCTCAATTTCAAGAGTAAGAACGCATTATGTGAAATGCAATGGAGTCTCCATGGTTCCCCCAACTCGTCATGTGGATACTGGTTATTCTTACTGCTAGGTCTTTTAGCAAAGTACATGGAATGCATCAGCAGGCTGCATCTCCTCTCCCCTCTCTAGTCGTTTTGTTGCTCATCATGTGATTTTATTACGGCTAAGGAAAATAAAATTTTATCATTTTCTCACTTGCGGGACAAGTGCCGGTCTTGTTTTTGCTGTCAAAGGGCATATTTGACCTTACCAAGACTTTGTATACTTGCAGATGTCTACAATTGTAGGTTTTATTTGATTGCTTGAATTCCCACCAAACACCAGCTTACCATCATTTTTCTACTTACTCCGTTGTAAAATGACTTCAATGATTTTATAGAGTCAGGAACGGGTGGTGTTCTTGTTGTAGAACCGGCTGTAGAATACTATATGCTTAAAAAACAATAATTCTACTCCTACACATATCTCATGCAGCTAACAATCCTCATTTTATTTTGTTTGTTTATTACTAGATATTGCACTTTGACAATCTACTATAATTAGTTACTCTTTGTCGTGATATATTCCTGCAGCAGATAGTTTAATCCACTCTTCATCATTCTATTGCTTTCTATTTATGAGCTCATTCTCTCCGCTAAAGATTGCTTCTTTAACTTCATTCATTTATTGTTCGGTACAAGGTTATGGTTAATGATATTTACGGGTAGAATGCACTACTTTGTTTTCTAGGTCGTTAAAGGTAAACCATCACTTTGTTTAAAATGGTTGTCACCTTTAGGGTGTCTCGTTAAACGGAGACTCAAACTGAGGCCAAGTTTTGCATTTTTATTTTTCGAAGAGTTTAGATGTATTAGTTTGAGATTGAATAAAAAAAAAAAAAAAAGGAATAAAGGAATAAAATTATTTTTTACTTGCCTCTTGATCTAATTCAACCACTTTCAGTGGTCCCATTATACATCAACTTCCAGAATAGAGTAAAAAACACACACACACAAAATAATTTTTAAATAATTAAAAGGGAATTACTTTATTCTCTTTATTTCCCATGGACCAAATTAAGATATTGTTTACAGTGCCTTATCCGATGTACAATATGGCCCAGATAACTAGTTCTACTTACACATCCATTAAAGGGTTTATGTATTCTTTTTTTTTTTTTTCTTAAAGCTAAAATGCCCTTTTGGGCATTTCTATTAGACCCTCCTGGTCTAATCCTACGGTAAATAAAATTTTAAAAAATGTTTTAAATCCACCTGACATTCTCCTCCGTCTGACGACCTCGGGGGCCTCTGTGGTCCAATCACAGACTACACTAGAGAATTCTGTGATTGAACCATTTCACCGGCTCATAAAGCACGTGTGTACTCTCTGAAACAAAATGCGTGGAGGGCTTGTTTAATGATGGGACGTTGGACAGAACTAGTGGAACGAAGTACATCTGTTGCCAGCGTGCAGACGGCTGACATTATTTATGCACACAATTGACATTATGAAGTTATGAGCTCTGGACTGTCACGTGCGCTGGGCATGCAACTAGCACTCGGCACACAAGTGTCAGTAACTCAATATGTGCAGTGTTTCAAGCAGAGACACTGCACATACACACTCCTACCACCATGACCACTTTAAATCCCTAAAGTGGTCATGGTGGTTGGAGTAACCCTTTAACTAAACATGGCATTAGAAATGTCATTCATGTTGTTTCCAACCCCCTAAAACTTCCCTTGCAAATATGCCCCACACACACTGTAGCTATTGTAGTTCAAAATGTGTCAAAGCCTAGGCCAATACTTATGGCACTCCACCAGTCCAGGACAATTGTGTTGCGATGGAGATAGACACAAAACCTGGACCAATGGTATACCTCGAGGATGGACTTGAGAACAACTTGTCTAGACGCTGCAACTTTAAATTGCCCCTTTAAAGCAAAAACTATTTAAGAAATTATTATATTTTCAATATCTGCAGTATTGGGTATGTAACACCTCCTACTTCCAGGTAACATACTGTTTCTGCATTTGTGTGAATAAAGGTACGAAGTGCAGCTGTCCGAGAAAGACTTACCATGTACCGATTTAAGAAATCTCTTCTACCCATTTTGAAGATCATGTAAATAACCATCTATTTATGTATTTCATTATAGTATATAATAGTATATAATATATAATATAATATATAGAGGGCAAGCTTCCACTCTATGGGGAATATTCACTAAATGAAACATTATTGATGGAACACATTAGTGCCATTCTATACATTAATGCCATTCTATTAAGCCAGCTTGCACTTGGGATTTGGAAAACAACATTTTTAAAAGCTATCATGTATCACATATTTACTATAGCAACAGAATATTAACAGATTTACCTTCATCTTTTCCACCAATAACCTTGACTCTCTGATTTTAGAGTCTTTGTTGTCATGCATCTGTCTCTCATTCATCAAATCATCCTAATTAACCATTTCATAGCAGCCAGTTCACTGGGAAAAGAAACATGTGAAAGCTACACCAAAAGGGTTGAGAGTAACACACACACACACACACATGCAGGCACGCACGCACGCACGCACTTTATCAGAACCATTTCTTGTTTAAGACATAAATTCAAAGTAACAAAGTGACAATGGAATTAACTTTATTCTAACTGCAGATTTAAGGTATACAACCGAACATTGCTATTTTTTTATATGAGACTTATAAATAAAAATACAAAAAATGTTCACTACAAAAAAATTTATTTTACTGTTAGTAGGATGTAAAAAATATTTTCTTTGCTATACAAGGCACAAACTTCACTTAGTGACAATGTAGAGAGAAAAAAAATCCTGCAGCATTTTATTCAAATTTTTTTTCTCCGGCAAAGGAAAAAAAAATACACAACAGAAAAAAACAAAAAAAAAAAAAAAAAAAGAGAGAACAAGGGACACGGTATTTACGAAGAAATGCGTTTCTACATACATGGACAGAGAAAGTGGCATTGAGAGCGCGAAAGAGTAACATGTAGCTATGCCCTCTTGAGATTACTGCATGTGTTCCAGGACAGAAAAACATAGGAAGCAGTCTAGCATTAAGGTTGGCTAATAAAAAGAAAAAGAAAAAAGAAAGCTAAAAAAAAATAAAATAAAGCAGTGGCTCAAACTTTTTTTTCTGTTATAATTTTAGACAAAAAAAGTTAGATTTTTTTTTAAAAAAGTTGGTTGAGTTAGAGAAATACTTCTTTCTTATTTACTTCCAATAAGTGTATTTAATTAATAAATGGTTAGGGTCCATGCATCCAAACATTTCTTCTTCAAGATTTGATAATGGTGGATAAATAAAGTAATTATTCGTTATTGTATGTAAACGAGTTAAGCTTTTTTTCCTTTGCTTCTTATTTTAAAGAGCCAATATCATGGCAGTATGTTCAAATTATGGTCAGTAATTAACTTCCCTGGATTTTTATTATTATGTTTACATAAGCCTATTAATTTATAAAAATGTTGAACTTCCCACCTCTATATTCTGCAATTGGGTGCCTCCATCCTGACTCCGTGTCAATCTTTGCTATAGATTGCGTCCTTTGCACCTTGCAGTCAGCATAGTGATATCATATAGAGCGGGAAAACAATGTTTACCTTGTCTAAACTGGATTATGAGGTCATCTGGTAAATCTTTAATATAAACTTAAAAGAAAAAACAGAGCCCCTCTTTAAAAAAAGGTTAACAAACATTATAGGTGATTTTTAATGTATTGCTCAATGATATAAATTCCATAGAAGGGACAGATGCTCTTTCTTAATTTTATACATATAGTAATTCATTAACTTATTAAAGACCTGAAATCTCATGAATGAGCAGAAATACATTCTGTAGACTGGACCATGCAGGTCAAAGATGAATTAGCATCTGGATGGTAAATCTGGTTGAAAACAAAATGTAAAAACAAAAAATTTAGATTAAATGATAAAACATGTTCACATATAGGAGTTGTACTTTCTCTGTATTCTATTTCATTTTCCCATCAAGAGCCACTGCTTAAAATTAAAAAAAATAATTAAAAAAAAATCTATTAATCGAAGAGGGGCAAAAAGAACAGAAAACATGAAAAAAAAAAAAGTCTTTAGGCAACATAACCAGTGGGCACCCTTTAAACACAGGTAGAGGGTGCTGAGGTAGACTTGGCAATTAACCCTGTTTTTGCTGCAGGGAATGGTAAAATAGAGCCAACCAACCAGCAAAAAAAGGTTAATATTCATTCATAAAACACTATATTACTTTATTATTTTATCATATTAATTTATTTATTTTTTTGTTTGTTTTGACAGCGTTTGCAACTGGCACTTGTGCTGTTCCGACAGAGGCTATAAAATAATTTTTTTGGGGAAAAAAAAAAAATGTAAAAAAAAAATAAAATAAAAAAATGTAAAAAAAAAAAAAAAAGTACCAAAGGGGAAGGTGGCTTGTAAAGTAATTAGCAAAATAACTTGTTAGGTCCCTCTGGGCAGTTGGTCCGTAATGCTATGATATTTGCACACTTATAATGGACAGAATATAATGCTGTATAACCAGGCCTCTTACAGAGCACATGCATAAACACTATATGGGAAGTACAACAAGGACTATGACACAGACTGACTGCTTTGGATTCCACCCAGGGATGGCTCTACAGTAAGGAAAATTGAGTCAATGAGAAGATGTGACAGTTTGGGAGATTGTTTGCACATAAGACAATCTTCTTATGGACATGTTCACACACTCTGCAAACTCTTGAGCCCTATTCCTTTAGTTGCTTGAATAGACCTTTCAGGTTTACTTACTGTCACTTAAAATCTTTTGACGCTGCAAGTGATCAATGAATTATCAGCAAACAATGCTCATATTTTATTTCATTTATTGTACAGTCTTTTGAATAGAAGTTAAGAGCAACTTGAATCCACTAAAAAAAAATGTAAAAAAAAAAATGAGCCACGTAGAACTGAAACGCTCATCAGGTCTGATAAGGATGTCTAAGTCTGGGTTTGATATTTTATTAAGAAAATGCCAAATATGATGCAATATATTACTTTACAACATGACCCAGTAAGTTACAGCAGATATAAGGTAAGATCCATTGATATCTTCCAAAATAGGTTTGTGGAAGCTCCAGTTTAATGACTTGAAGTACATATCTAACGTTGCTTGGGCAATATGTTTAGGGAATTATAAAAATGTATTTATTGAAAAATTCTGTATTTCAGAGGAGAATTTAAATAATAATCTTGTTTCCTTTGCCAACATGAGTGAAAGTATTGTATGTAAATGTGTGTCAATCACATAGATTATTTGAAGCAAGGGTGCCCAAAAGGTAGATCCCCAGGTGTTTTAAAACTACAGCTTCTACAATGCTTTGCCATTCTCAAAGGAGTTCCAAGGGCCAGCAAAGCATCATGGGAGTTGTAATTCTACATCTGGGGGATCTACCTTATGGATAACCCTGACTTATAGGATTAGAATACCTTCATTCCATGTGCAAAGTATTATATGCAGATATGGGTGCTGGTTATACATTTTTTGCTTCAGTCACTGACCTTAGAAATGTTCACAGTCAGATATTGGAAGTTACAAATTAACTGCAATATCATGAGCCAGCTCACATAATATTTAGATTTTTTTTTTTTTTTTTTTAAATCTTACTATTAACGTAAAAATGCAGATTGGCAAACCCATTATTTTTTTTCTTTAATGACCTGAGAGCGGTTGTTGTGTAAAATGAATTCTATTATTAAGACCAGCCATGAAAGAAGCATATGAGCTTCAAAATGATAGTGCTTGCTTTATGCATTAGGTGTATTTAGAGCTCAAAAAAGTTAAAAACCTGACTTCTCAAAATCGTTAGCATGCTATCTGCAAATGCAAGTTAAGAGGAAACGAATATTTAGCAGATTTTTAAAGAGTATAAAATTACAATGCTGTTTCCTATAAGTCTCTTCTTTAGAATTTCCAGTTATATAATTAAATTTTGCAGCTGTGCTAAGAGGCCAGTGTCAAAGTAGGGCATGTATGAAATCCTGGATTCCTTATTCCAAGACCCCAGTGGCACAGCCACCCCTGATTTTATATCCAAAGCATGCTGCTCTATTACAATCCAAACCATTGAGAGAAACGGCAGCAGTATTTTATACATAGTTTTTACGGATGGACACAGTTTTCCTGCATGTTTTTTTTTTAAACATTTTTACAATTTTTCATAAAAAATAAAAAAAAATGTTCAGGCACAGAGAATAAAGAAGCCTTTTCTCCAACATGGTAGAATAGGCATGGCACAGGAATGTGAGTGTTGCATTTAGGTTTGTGGGTAAAAGCAGTAAGTTTTTGTTTTCTTTTTCCACTGAAATACGACAGGTTTATGTAAAAAAAATAAAAAAAAATTAAAATAAAATAAAAAAATATAAAGTTTTAATAATCCAAAGAGTGCTTTTTACCCTGCACACTTCACAAGGGTTTTTACAATTTGCACACATGAACTTGGTGGTTTCGGAGGCAGGATAAAAATGGTAAATTAAAGTGTAGAACATCAAATAATATTCCACATGTATATTATTGAGATTGTGTTGATGGGACCCGATTATTCTTTGTAAAGGTCTGCTCTGCACCAAACCATTTGCAATGTTATAATTCCTATGCCAGTCAGAAGCAGTCTCTGTTTATGCACAATACTGTATGGATTTTCATTACAAATTCACACGCAAGGAACAGCGTTACCATACGTGTATATACACGCACACACACAGAGTCCTGTTCACATTACAAAAAAAATATATATATAGGCCAAACTGACAAAAAGACTAACAAATATTACAAAAATATCACAACTTTGCTAATATCTTCTTACCTCAACCCATCTAATATTTCTTATTAAGCTTGAGGGAGGAGGATTTAGAGAAGACCCCTTTTGCAGAGAGGGGTAGACATATTTCCATTTATTTTGTGGAATACCGTTCGTAATTTATTTATTCTCGTGTCATCTTATGAACTTTAATTTACTACAATTAACTTGCTAGTTTCTTCCATGAATATAGGCTGGCTTAATGCACAAGTCAGAATTGATACATACTGTACTGCTGAAAAATATATATTTTAATTAATACTTTTATCACCTTCACATTATGACTCAAAAATATATAGAAAAAAAAAAAAAAAGAATATCCTAACATAATATTCACAAATTCAAGTTTAAACCACATATCCTTCACTCAACCTACATACCACCTTAGATCTACAAAGGTCAAACTAAGGAACCACTTTTTCCCCACTTGTTTTGTCCACAATGTTATTTGTCCAGGGATAAAAATGGCAGAAGCAGACAACAGCAATATCTTCTTAACCGTTCTTGCAGGCCAACTGTAGCAAAAAAGGTTAAAACTCCTCTGTCCTCCCCATCTATGCTACCTACAAAATAATCCCCTAGTCCTCGTATTTCAATATAAATGCAGCTTAATTACAAAAAAGAAACATAGAAGTAAAACATGAGATGGAAATAATATCTTAAGCGTAATAAAAGATTAACACAAAACCGTGTTTTTACAACTGAGAAACAAAAATATCCATCTGCCTCCAAAAGAGGCCTACAAAACATTTATTTGCAATATATTGTAGGTCCCTATGGCAGCAAATGGGTTAAGAGGTAGCTTTCATGAACATGAACAAAAACAGCCCCAGCACAATGCAAAAGGGCAATGTCAACTCAAAACCGAATACCATGTTTGGTACAAAAAAATAAAAATAAAATAAAAAAATAAAAATATATACAACCTCCCCTCCAACCCCCAAAAAACCTCTCTCTATATATATATATGTGGACACATTATCTAACCTTACCCATTCTTGATTCGATACATTCTTTCTCCAGCAATGTGTCTCAAATGGAAAAAACAAAAAAAAAGGGTATTTCCTTAGGCAGCGGCAAAGATGCTTATGAGGTTGCTCAAAAACAAAAAACAAAAACAAAAAAACATTTCAAGTACAATTTGCTAAACATAAAAAAATTATAAATCAAAAAATATACAAAGAAGCAGCCCCCTATTATCATGACCTCTGTGAATAACTGCATCGACACACACAAGAATGTTGTGATTAATTATATTTTTGCAGACAGAGAAGATACAAGCAAATTAACCAAACACATCCATGAAGAGGAGTGGCTAAAATTTGGCCAGTTTCATTTCTAAATTCAGTTAGGCAAAATAGCAGCATCTTCAGGCTACGTTTTGTACTGGTCACTTAGCCTTGTTACAGATGGCCCAAACTGATGCTACCCAATATGATCTACCCTGCTATGACCTAATGAGGCCTACTGTCTACAGAACTGGTTTGTTAAAAAGTCTCTGAAGGGCTCTGAGCCTCCCACACCTTCTCTTGTTAGATGGTGTAGCGAGTGCTTTTGAATGAAGTAATTTTTGAAGAACAAAATAAATTTTGCAAAGTGCTCTGCTTCAAAATCTTCTTAAACCCTAAAGGAATGACCACTTAATCATTTACATGTCCATAACTTAAGTCTGGAGAAACTACAAAATGAAAATATCTAGTTGAAATGGTAAGTGAATATTAACAATGGACTTTGAAGGTTCTTAAACCTAAAATTTCCATTTATGAGGTTTTATGACCTCTTCAGTGCTAAAAACCTAAGGTTTACAACAAAAGACAAATGAAGGTTGCATTTGACTATTG